GAATTATAGTGACAATATACACGAGTTACTTAAATGTTCGGAGTAAATTCCGCAGACTTTGCGCTCGAAGACGATATCGCAGTCTCCCTATATAATAAAACGTATAGTGTTCTTAATCTTATCTATCCTTAAAAACGCATTCAGCTTCATACTTTTCATTCCTTACTTTTTTATTACTAACACAAATTTCATGGAGTTACACCGCTATACTTCATGACTAGAATTAAATTGGTAATCCTTTTTGTCGTTTCAATTTGTGTTAAAATTAATAATCGTATTCAATAATTCACCTGTAAAAATTTCGAGTAAAAATTATTATTCGTATGATGATTCATGAATTTTTACGAAGTGAGACTAGTGATAGATATTTAAATAATAGCAGTAATGAATGCATAGGTCCTACATTCTATCTTCGATGCTCCAAAACAAATAAAAAAAAGTTTAAGGTTTTGAGCCTATGATGGAGCTGGTCTCCGAAACGTTTTCCTTTTTAAGAAATGGTGAATTTTCTGGCTATTTTCTTCGCTTTGAAATTTTTGAAATAAAAAATCCGAGATTTTTCGAGCAACTTCTTCGGTACCCGCTTCAAGTTCTCAACCGAGTTAATTTGCACTTGTACAAGAGAGGGCTAAGCGTGTCACAACGAAGTTGTCTCTTCAATAATGAGCTCCGCGATAAACGCTCACGCTTGCCAATAGCTCAGCCGCCGTCTCATTGATTGTTGCCTTCATCAGCTCGAAACTTCCACGCTATCGCTCAGCCTTGATTGGATTGACCTCGCAACCGATAGACACTATAACTTCATCACGCGTCACGAATCCAGTAATTTTTACTTATCTGATTCAAAAAATCCAGCTAGCTTTAAGATATTAATGTTAATGATTCTTTCGAACGTAATTATTTCATGTGATTCAACATTGCGAAGTTTATTTCTACTGCAACGACGTCGGTTCCTTTTTGACAGTCAGTATTTTTTTCTTTTTTTTTTGTCAATGGCGGGGCTGTAGTGAGGTTATCTTAGCTCAGCTTTTCGGTAGGAAGCCCTAATTGCTTCAAGACGTGAACCCTAACTAATGATTACTGTGTGACTAAAAATACCAAATGAAAAATAAGCATGCCATCAAAACATGCGAACTTGGCATAATTTGTTAAGTTTGTCTCCGGAGGCCATGTGAACTTGAGCCTATCGTTATCATTCCTACGCTTATCCTTCTAAAATCGTTGAAATTAAGAAACTCGATTCAAGTGCATTCTTTTGTCCCATCTATTGGATTGAGAAGGTCCTAATTTCTTGCCGTTATGCAATGTTGCATTAGGCAAACAAGGGATAATGACGTTCCTTACCGGCCAATTTAACACTTATTACGCTCAAATTGATAATTTTCTTGTTATAACCTCATAATGCGGAAATTTGTTAAGTAATTTATTCATTAAACGAACGTATTATTTGGTTTTCGGATGCTTGAATAAAATATATCATTCACTTAAGAAAGAAATCTGCAGAAGGACCTCAATAAATTCAATGGGTTATATCCAAGGTCATAAAAAAATGCGTGTATTAGAACTTGTGTAGATTCATTCGATATCCTTAACGTAGGGACAAATGGAAATTACTTGACCAAAAGTTACAACCCATCTTGAATCATAATTTTTATACAGGCTGGATAAATTAGTCGTATCAAAATGTATCAATTAGTTCTAATTGATGCATTTTCGAATTTTGGGTTGAAGAGCGTGCATTTGTGAATTAAACTGTTATCGTTAATGCTTATCAAAGTTATAAAAATACAGGAAAGATTCATAATAATAAAACTAAATCTGCGGGTCGAATCACAATTAAAATATAGTTACATTAATTTTGATTGCGCTACATTACAAAAGCTTTTTTAATTTTTCTTTAAGTTGGTGATTTGCTATAAGGCGATACTAAAATAATGCCTTAAAAATTGAACTGGCCTGAGGTGTAAAAATGCTTGACATTCGGCTTGGTGTATAATCATTTAAAAAAAACAAAGAAACGCTATTCAATGTGATCTTTTTTAAATTGTGCTAAAATGTAAATCTATGTGAAAACCACTTCAAATCCTGTAATGCTTCACCCTGAAAGTGAAAGTGGGGATAAATGAAAAAAACTTTAAAACGTATTGTGTCCACAATCTTGGATCTCGAAAATTAAATGTGAAATTTCAAACCAAGATAGAGAATAATGAACTAAGAAAAAACCAGTGGTGAAGGGTTGTACATTTTATGCGAGCAAAATTTGTGACCATGATGAAGACATTATTATGAACGACTCTATTCCGATATCACAAGGCTCCCTGACATTACTTGAGGTCTTCGTACGCTCGGGAGACGATGACATCGAACACGAAGCTGAACTCGTGTTGAAGAAAATTATGTAGATAAATGTCCCCGCGATACCATCCAGCCATGTAAGTTGTTCAGTCTTGACGCTTGCAGTGCCAATTTTTCGTACAAAAATTTAAGATCCTCTCGATATCGTTTATACTTCTTATAGTTTCACTTGCACGCTTGGACTTGAACCAGCCTCGAAAAAAAATTCTGCTCTAATCGTAAAATTTGTTTCTGCTTGCTATTTATGCTTTGAATAGTTTAAAATACGCGGTAAATTGTACGATATCTTATGAATGTTGCCTAATTCTACAGTTTTTATCAATTTATCTACAAGCGACAATAAATCTCGCATACAATGCTGTTAACCTTTTGAAAATGTATGTATGAAATTTCGTATTACTGATAATCAACATTTTCTAATTCTATTGCGAATTAAACAAATACTTTCCTATGAATCATCTGCTCCCCCTTGCCAATATCTCTTGATTGCAATTCTAGATCATCATATTTTAATTAATCGTTATCCTTTTTTGACAGTTTCGAACTCCTCTATGAGTTTTATCGAATGTTCTTTTTAGTACTTTCATAAGTACTAAAAAGAGGAACTTTTTCATTTGCAAGTCACGACATAGGAATTGGATTATGACGTAATGCATTTTCTTATTCTATTTCATTACATTGGCAGCACACGCTTGGGCTTATAATGAACAGGCTAAAAAAATCTGCGCGATTCGTAACAATTTGTTTCTGCTTGCAATTTATGCTTTGAATAGTTTAAATACTCGATAAATTGGCGATATCTTGCGAGATTTGCCTAAATCTTCAGATTTTTTTTCGATTCATTTACAAGCGATAATAAATCTCACATCAAATGCTGTTAACTTTTTGAAAGTGTACGTATGAAATTTCGTATTACGGATAATCAACACTTCCTAATTCTATTGTGAATCAAACAAATACTTTCCTCTATGCATCATCTGCTCCCCCTTGCCAACATCTCTCGATTATATTTCTAGATCCTAATTTTTTAATTAATCGTTATCCTTTTTGACGAACGCCTCTGATTTATTTTAATGTTCTTTGTAGTACTTTCAAAAGTACTAAAAAGTGCAACTTTTTCATTTTTGAGTCACGACATAGGAATATGCTTATGAAGTAATGCATTTTCTTATTCTATTTCATTACATTGGCAGCTCATTTTCTTAACTGTAACCTAGTATTTGATGTTATATTCTGATCGAAATTCACGTACTATTCCTCTCCTGCTTGCTTTTGGCAAAGAAAACTTATGTTTTTTAAACATTCTCTCACACTTTTACCCTTTTGTGATGGAAAACTATACAGGAAATTTCTAAAATCTTTCAGTAGGAAAAACATATGCAGTAATAAAGTTCCTTAAACGATACAATTTGTGTCGATCTTCTTGCTTCAGTTTTTTTGCTCTTACTAATGACCAGCCATTGCGGTTGAATTTATACTGCAGTTTCTTTTAAAATCGAAATTGAAAGTTGAGCAGTCGGCGATAAATAACTATGTTCAAAGTTACGGTAGCGATGGTATCCATGATACTTTGACAGCCTGTACCAAGTTGATCGAAGATGAGATTAACATACGCAGAACTCCGTTGTAGTTTGACCCAAAAAATGGGCAACGAGGCTGGTATAAAATAAATATAACTTTGTACTCACTGCAGTGAGAGACAGAGAGCGCATTTTTTCGTCGACGAAAACCTGTAGTCACGGACGGACAGACAGACAGACAGACGGACGGACGGACGAATGGACATGACGAGCACAATAGCGACTTTTTTCCATAAATGAGAAATGCGCTAAAAAACGCCCTACGGCAGGCATTGAATGAGTAACTGTACATGCGTGGTGACAGGGATAGATCCAAGCGTTATTGTCTTATTGAAGATATTTACCTCACAGAATGAGACAGAAATGAAATGTATTGATGATGTATAGATGACGAAAGGTCTAGTTAAATTAAACTCCGTTCGAGGTATTACATTTACAACGATCAAAGAGAGGTTGGAATGAGTGGGCTCCTACTTCTATTATTTATTTTGGGTTCAATGAAAGTAACTAGATTGGTTGGTAAAAGTTTGCAGAAGTTTACATATATTCCTATGGGAGTTTTTTACCTCTAATTGTTTAAATACTTTTGAATTTTCCCAATGTAGTTTACTTTAATTTGCTTTTTCTTAATTTATACAGTGATGTAGTGTAGTCCAGTTCTACAGAAACTAATAGATGCCTGAGGAAGATTTCTTATTATTTCGAGCTTTTTTTGGAGTACGATTTCTTATGATTTTTCGCAAAATTATAACGGTAAAAGCTGAGTTTGTAGTTTATATTCTATTATAACATTCGATCAACTAGTCATATGTGCTAAATTTATAGTGGAAGACGTTTATTATTTGTCACAGTTTTCTTACTTATAAGCTTTTAGTTTGCAGAGTTAACGAATTACGCGAGTAGCCGTCGGGCACGTTAACAATTTAATTCTACGTGCACCATTCGTTGGCTGCACGATGCCAATTTTTTCACTCTAATGATTATAATTTCCAACGCACATTGATGAATTTCGAATCTCTAAAACAAAATTAAAATCAAATTTCTAACGAGATTTATTTCGTGCAGGGCTTCAGGCGGTATCCGTATGGCGATGTCACCGCAGCAGTTTTGTCTGCGGTGGAACAACCACCAGTCAAACTTCGTGTCCGTTTTCGAACAACTTCTTCACACCGAACAGTTCGTCGACGTCACTATAGCTGTGGAAGGCCGCACGCTCAAAGCCCACAAGATGGTTTTGTCAGCATGCAGCCCTTACTTTCAGGTATGCATGTTACTCAATAATTTTTTCAAGTATTAAAATTAAATTATCGTGTATTCAATATCAATTCCATTTCTGAAATCTGTCAAAACTCGTCACTCACAAAGAGAATTTCATTTTAGTTACTTCAATCTACAATTTTATTTCAATAATATAGCTCAATTTACGAAGAGAATTGAAGTCAGTATTTTGAGATTGGGATCCGGCTTGAGCATCTTGCAACTATTTCTTGTTTAATTTTGCTATCATTTGAGTACACAATAATTATTTAATCTTTATACTTATTAGTCACAAAAATATTTAATTGTTCCTTACGCGCATCACGCGGGTATTATCAAACTTTGTTTCAATCTCTACATCTGGGTTGCTACTTTACATCTCTACCTTACAGTTACGACTCTACCCAATTTCTTAACATATTTTGGATTCAGTCCCGAGATTGTACCAGTTTTGAATAATGTATTTTTCCAGCATGGACCAAATAGTTAATGAATACCATTCTTGATAGGCTGTGCTGGCATCGCATCCAGACAAGCACCCCATCGTGATACTGAAGGACGTACGCTACACAGACATGCGGGACCTATTGGACTTCATGTACAGAGGCGAAGCGAGCGTTGATCAGGAGAATCTGCAGACTTTTCTCCGTGTCGCCGAATGCCTAAGAATTAAAGGCCTTACTGAAGTAGGCGACAAGAGATGCGACTCGATACCCTCGCCGTACCTAATACAACAGGGTTTGCATACGAGCGTCGCCAGCAACAACAGTAATAGTACAAACGTCAGCAACGGCGGAATAGCCATCGCACCCCCCAGCACATTGCCCATGGCCCCCCTAACGCCTTTACCTGGTGATCCGCCCCCTCTGAAAAGACCCCCATTGAGTCCATCAGGCACTGGTGCTAAAAGAAGAAGAGGTCGGCCGCCTAAGATATCCGGCGAAGATTCTGAAACCGATATCGGTGTTAGCCATGACGAAGAGAGCAGGTCAGGAAGCGTTGGTGGACAAAGCGTTCCAGGCTGCGTGCCTGGCAGCGTCAGGGTTGAAACTGAAATCAAAGTCGAGGCTGATGACCCGATGGACAACAAGGATTCGGACGGCTCGCGTCCACCATCTCATCAGGTGAGAACTTTTTCACTCGTATCAGATAGCGATAATTGTATAAGCTTAGTACTGTATTATGCGCTGTAAGCTGTTAAAATTCCAGGGATATGCTCGCTTCGCATATCAAGGCAATTAATTATCGATCAAAAAGAAATTCTTGTTACGTTATCATCACAATTAACGTTAGAGTATTGTATTTATTACTATAAAAGCCAACAGCATTCCACAGAGCAAAAGATAATTATTTTTTAAATATCTCATGCGCACTTGGCTGATTAAAGTTCGCACTTTTTGGCAAAAAAAAACTTATTCGCTCAGCTTATTTATCGCAATCTATCACAACTCTGATGATAATAACTGCAGATGTTCACTACTTCTGTAGGAAATGAGTAAAACATAAATAAGTAATCAAAACGACAGTTATATGCAATACATAAGGTGCGGTGTGCGGAATGTAGCTTTTAGTACCTTGAAAAAAGGCTAGCAAAGGTTTATCGTGAACGAAATTTTCCAACGGGTCCCATAAATTTTGGTAAATCTATCTGACAAATTTAAGCTCTAAAAACTTTAAAAAAAATTTTTTAAGTTTGGATTCAATTAAAATGACCTTTTTCACTTGATACCTTTCAGCCATCGTGCCGCGTGCATTTATTTACAGAAAGCAACTATTGCTACGAAATTCGGAGGCAAAATTATACTTTAATCGAATCCTATGTCCGTTATTGGTTTCCGCTTCGATTATTTCGTCAATGACTCTATAACTCAAACATTTGCAGAACATATCGATTATCGTGTAAACACTCGGTTAATTATATCATGTCATGCCAAAAAAGTTCCGGCGATTGAAATTTTCAAATAAATCTATTTCACTTTTAGAAACAGAATCGTTGATTATGGCATTTTTCAAGTGTTGATGTAGTGTGGTACTATCGCGTGTCGTTAAACTCCCGCCTGTCAACCATCGATCCCACGATAACCGAGAAAACAACACGAAGACGAACTTCTGCAGGTCTCAAAAGCGTAGCGAATCGAACACCGCGCGCGTTCTCTTTGAAATTTTTCTCCGCTCTCCGTATCACGCCAAAGTTAAGCACGAAAATGTGCCTATCAAAGTACACTGTTAGAAAAATTACCGTTAACGGTATTACCGGCGTATCAGTGGCCGGTCGGCACGTGAAAAGAAACATCGTGTCACCGTTTTTATTCCAATTTAACACTAGAAATCCGTGAAACATCTCATATAAACGGCGAAACAGTTTATTTTCACGGGGCGACCGGCCACTAGAATGCCAGTGGGACCGTTTTTCACCGTTTTTTCTAACAGTGTATGCAAATGTGTTGTTTGCAAGAAATGCGGATGTTTGGTTGAAGTTTCAAGGACCAGTGTCTCGGAAATATTTCCATAGCCATCGATTCATCAGGTCTTTAGAAGAGTATTATTAATCTCGCCCATTAACACAGCTGGTTGCCGAAGAATTTGCTTCAAAATTGGTTTAATAAGAGTTAATGAAGTATGTATTTTGATCGCATTATCTACAAACATCCATAAAATGCGATCCGATGTTCTTTGTTATTCTTTGTTATTGGTGCCTAACCTTTTCAATGACTGGAAGGATGGGTGTGAAATCATATTTCAATAAAATAAAGCATATTTGAACGAATGATAATATTAATTTGCGTGAGTAAGTTCAGTTATTCATAACATGAGTTGTTTTTTGCTCGGAATATATACACTGATTGATACCCAGAATTATACGGGGTTTCAAGTACAACCCAGAAGAGCAAAACAAAATTCAGCCAGTTATTTTCTTGCAATGCAGGTCTTTTGAAAGTTTCGGCTGCGTTTAATTGTGTTAATTAATTGACCAGAAATCACATTGCGCTATTATATCCAGCAGACCAGTCGTTTACAAGTCATTTAATAGCAGTCGAAACTTTTGGAGGTTTGATTAAAAAACATTCTCGTTTTTTACCCCGGACTAGATCATAAGTTACACTAAATGAATGTGGTTAATGATTATTTTACATTTTCAATTTAATTCCGCATACACGAAAAACCTTTACTGAACTTTTTATTTCATATCGTTAGCTGTGGAAACTATGTTCTTTCAATGCTAACATTAATTAATTCTTAACAGTATATTTATTAACTACATGGGCATCATTCTCAATCTGGAACATGGAGGGTACTGAATGGTGAACACTGCCTCGCTCTGCCATGCAGGAATTTGTCGCAGTCTTCGGTTAAACTGAAAAGAATCGCTAAAGAGTTCGGTCAATTCTGGGGCAAATACTTTCAAATCGAACAACCAATCGACTGCAATCGATGATCTTTGTATTTCTGTAGAGGGTACTGCAGCACAACCAGTGCACCTCCCTTCCTTCCCTCTCAACTTCCTTCCGTCACTCCCTTCCCTCTCTTCCTCGAATTTTCCCATTTACTTCCTTCACTTATTCCCCTCAACCTGCTACTTTACCTCACTTCCTCACATTGTCCAATAACACAAACTTCTTTCTCTCCCTTCATCTCTTTTTCTCCCTTGCCTTCACTCTCTCTTCCCCTTCACTTCATCCCTCACATCCCTCTATTTTAATTTTTTCACTTTTCCTTGTTTATATGTGTACAATTAATGACCAGAGAATGCATTATTATTTCCAATGAAAATATAAAAAGAATTTTCAGAGAGTATAAAATGCATTCTCTGGTCATTAATTGTACACATGTAAACAAGAAATTTCTGCCATCTTGTACCAATTTCTCCATTTACTGCCATCTTATACTAATTGTTTAATGCACAACTTTCCCTCATATTACTTATTTTAAGAGTCAGGAACGAGCGCATGCTGTGCACTCCGCAAGAAATAAAATCGGGTCTTCCATATTACTTTTTTTCTTCACTTGCCTCGTTTGCAACTACAAATGACTATCAATTTTCTACACTTGCTCACTCCATTACTCTTACTATTGACTCGACGTCTCACAACGCGCGTAATATTCTTTATTGATTTACTTTTCACCAAGGAAGTTGGTCCAATCTCTCTGAAAACGTCCTACGTCTAACTTCTGCAAGCTTCCACCTAACTGAAATTTTATTAGTCACCCATTTCTGTTTGTATTAATACAAATAATTGTTGATAGTTTATTACTGCACGTTTTTTTTCAAATTTTCATGTATATTCATTTTTGTTTCTTATTCGCGGGGACCTACTGATTGGATGTTTTCAACTGCCATAGATGTTTTTTTCAAACTTAATATTGTATTAAATTTATTTTTCTTTTCCGTATCATTATTATTTATATTATTTATCAATTTACTTTCGGTGGGTTTCTTTTTGTTTCTCCCTATTTATACTGCGTTGTTTTTTCAAAGACCTAGGCTGGCTGGCTTGGGCGCACGTTTTCTTTTTATCGCCGTGTTTTATTGGGGGCAGAAATTGCGCGGACCGCCCGCCTCTTCTGCTGCGGACCCGCGAACGATCCACCGAGAACGGCCTTCCCGCGAGCCGGGGGAGAGGGCAGAGGGGTGAAAGTGAATGAAGGGATGGTGGAGGAAGGGATGGTGGAGGAAGGGATGGCGGAGGAAGGGATGGTGGAAGAAGAAATGGTGGAGGAAGTGATAGTGGGTGAAGGTTAGCTTGATAGACTGTGGGTGAAGGTGAAGGATGGGGACTGGGGGTTGAGGTGGTGGAGGGGAATGGTAGGTGAATGTGTAGGAGGCGAACTGGTGGATGAGGGTGGAGGACGGATTTCTGTAGTAAGAGTGTGTGTGGCATGAAGAAAGAAACAATGCAGGGATTGCAGTAGTAATTGGGTTTATTACAGTATGTTTACAGAACAAACTGCCTAATAAGGTGCCACAAGTATCGTTGATACTAATAATAATTAATAATACGTTGATAATAAATCGTACAATAACTCATGCATAACTCATTCAATAATGTATAGGTATCGTTGATACTTGTACCTCTCCGCTGAATGCCCTTTGTCATGAATACCCTTCACCACTCCATGCCCTACACATGCGCTAACACTTGCCACTCCAAATCCCACACCACGCGCTGACACTTGCCACTGTATGCCCTACACATGTACTGGCATTTGCCACTCCATGCCTTTCGCCACTTCATATCCCACACCGTGCGCTTGCACTTGCCACACCAGGCCTTTTACATGCACTAGCATTTGCCACTATATCCTCCACAACACGCGCTGACATTTGCCACTCCATTCTCCACACCACGAACCAGCATTTGCCACTCCATGCCTTTCGCCACTCCATGCCCCACATCACGCACTGGCACTTGCCACTCGGTGCCACAGTGGCTCGCTACTCACGGGTTCACACCGCAGTCCCGCGTCGTCGCAGGCGGTGGCCAGAATGGCGGTCCGTGCGGCGCTAAATATTCTGGTGAATTTGTGCCTCGGTGTNATACAGGACAATGGATTTAAATGCTCAAAGTGCTTCCAAACTTTCACTCATCCATCGAACTTCCATCGGCACTATATCACAGTCCACACGGACAGGAGAAATCACAAATGCACTGTTTGTGGCAAGGAGTTCAAGCGGAAAGATAACATGATGTCGCATATGAGATCTGTACCTGTCTCTTATACACATCTAGATGTGTATAAGAGACAGATCGAACACCGCGCGCGTTCTCTTTGAAATTTTTCTCCGCTCTTCGTATCACGCCAAAGTTAAGCACGAAAATGTGGCTATCAAAGTACGCAAATGTGTTGTTCGCGAGAAATGCGGAAGTTTGGTTGAAGTTTTTAGAACTAGTGTCTCGGAAATATTTCCACAGCAATCGATTCATCAGGTCTTCAGAAGAGTATTATTAATCTCGCCCATTAACACAGCTGGTTGCCGAAGAATTTGCTTCAAAATTGGTTTAATAAGAGTTAATGAAGTATGTATTTTGATCGCATTATCTACAAACATCCATAAAATGCGATCCGATGTTCTTTGTTATTCTTTGTTATTGGTGCCTAACCTTTTCAATGACTGGAAGGATGGGTGTGAAATCATATTTCAATAAAATAAAGCATATTTGAACGAATGATAATATTAATTTGCGTGAGTAAGTTCAGTTATTCATAACATGAGTTGTTTTTTGCTCGGAATATATACACTGATTGATACCCAGAATTATACGGGGTTTCAAGTACAACCCAGAAGAGCAAAACAAAATTCAGCCAGTTATTTTCTTGCAATGCAGGTCTTTTGAAAGTTTCGGCTGCGTTTAATTGTGTTAATTAATTGACCAGAAATCACATTGCGCTATTATATCCAGCAGACCAGTCGTTTACAAGTCATTTAATAGCAGTCGAAACTTTTGGAGGTTTGATTAAAAAACATTCTCGTTTTTTACCCCGGACTAGATCATAAGTTACACTAAATGAATGTGGTTAATGATTATTTTACATTTTCAATTTAATTCCGCATACACGAAAAACCTTTACTGAACTTTTTATTTCATATCGTTAGCTGTGGAAACTATGTTCTTTCAATGCTAACATTAATTAATTCTTAACAGTATATTTATTAACTACATGGGCATCATTCTCAATCTGGAACATGGAGGGTACTGAATGGTGAACACTGCCTCGCTCTGCCATGCAGGAATTTGTCGCAGTCTTCGGTTAAACTGAAAAGAATCGCTAAAGAGTTCGGCCAATTCTGGGGCAAATACTTTCAAATCGAACAACCAATCGACTGCAATCGATGATCTTTGTATTTCTGTTGGAACTCGGCACAAGTTATTCAAACCGTCTTCGATACAAACCTCAAAATAAATAATATACGGTTAATTGCAAGGTAAAACGATAGAAACCTTGCAATTCTGCATGAGAATTGTTTTACGTGACGCACGAAAAACATTGAAACCGACGAAACAAGTTTGAAATGAACTCCTTCGCAAGTTGGAAGTCACGCGTGATCAGAGCGATCTGTCGGCGCGCTTTTGTTCAAAGTTTGACGATAATCGACCTGAACTCTGGCGCTCGATCGAAGGCAATCATTCCGCCTTAGAGCTCCGTGTTCTGTTCATCTGTAAGTTAGCCCATTACAACTGATTAATGCGTCGCGTTTTAAATGCAGTATTGTTGAATAATATTGAAGAAAAATTATTCGAATTTAACTCGTTTTTCAATGATATCAATGAACAGTCGTTCTTGTCAGCGCAGTATCATCTCAAGAATTATTTTATGAATTTTTAACTTCTTCATTGATCAAGCGAGGCAAAATTTTTATTAGTAAAAAGCAATCAATTCATCGATGTTCGCATTCCCATATTTCCCATGTATAATGTCTCGTTGAAAATAATCCTCTACTCGTGGCCGTGTCAATTTCACGAGACTATTGCCATACGAATTAATGAGGTTTTGGAGGGCGATACAATCATGGGGCTAAATTTGAGGACATAGTGAAGATTCCATCTATCTTATACTGGATCATGCGACAAAATTATGGAGGGAATTGCTTCGATTGCCACATACAAATTATGGAGCGAATTGCTCTAATAGCCACATGCGTGAATAATAGTGGGCTTAGTAATTGAAAAGGAGCGTTCGTTGCTTAATGAATTATTCGATTTTATTATTTCCGGATCAACTGTAGTTTCATTGATGTAACAGACTGCACTGTGTACCCAAATGACAACATATTTTGTGCAACAATTTTTTGCATTGTGTACACAAGGTAATCCTCTGTGTGTAGACCAGTGACTACGCTGAACGCATCGATTCCTAATTTAAAGACCATGGATTTTGTACCTGCGATAGGCAAATGCTTATATATACATCACATTCGGGGCGGTTCTCTCACTCAGCACAAAAATAAATGCCCCGGACTTGCATGGTCTTGCAATTTTTACTTGCGTGAATTTATTATACATACTTTTTACACTTAATTTTCTGAAAAATATTTCCTTTATTAGAACACTGAAAGCATCGATTCCCACTTTAAAGACCATGGATCTTGTACCTGCGATAGGCAAATGCTTATATATACATGACATTCGTCTCGGTTCTCTCACTCAGCACAAATAAATACCCCGGACTTGCATGTTCTACGACAGAGGGGCACGCAAGGCTGGTCGATACCCAGCACGCTTCTTCCGTTGTATGCAAGCGGGTATACATGTATACATACATACAAGTATACATTCCGTTGTATGCAAGCGAGTGCGGCACACCAGACGTCGATAGCGACGAATAGCGAAAACGCAACCTCATCGTTAGCTTCCGATATGCGAACCTCATAGCGACAAAACAACAACCTTGTTACTTATTTGTAACATCAATTGCAAATTCCACCATGACTTCCTTCTTTAAAATTTTCGAGTGAGTATTCTGTGGCAAGAAATTTGTGAACTCCCATAACTCCCTGGAAGCTGTATCGACTCCCATCATAGAGTGCCGATTTTTTAATTTTTGCGCCAATATAACAACTTTATGGCGCTTCCCGGCGCTTCCCCTGAATTAATGAGCGACGCGGTAAAATTTTCTCGATGATTCCGCCTAATTATATCTGAACAAAGCGAAGTTATTCAAATGATAGGAGCTGCATATTCATTAGCCATAAGGCTATTATAGTTCATGTACGAATAATTCGCTACAATAATTAAGCCTTAATATTTTTTTTACCTTCACCGCATATATCAATCGCAGCGCAAAGTATGTATTCCTCATCGCATCGTTCAGGCGTTAGCATTAAGAATGAACAAAAGTGAGCCTAGCACGAAGATTTATGCGTGAACTAACGTTTACGGCAAAAATCTATACGAAGAGCCAAACTACCTCATATCGAACCAAGGCATAAGATTCTGTCTGTGTCGGGCACGCTAACGTGTCAACCAGGCATAATGCCCGCACGCAATGCCCACGTTCCTGTATCAATACTAGCTTTCAAGCTAAGCATTTAATTAAGCATTCTGTCATTGACTACATAATCTGTTGAATACTGTGGTCTTTATTCACCGTAGGGCACTCACTCCATGCATGGCAGCGTTCAGTATTTTCTTCATCGTTACTGTTGAATTATGAGGAAAGTCATTAGATAATTCAGCTACTAAGCCTTACTTCTCGAATGTGAACTCGTCCATCAGAAATATAAATAAATCCTCATACAGCACCAATGAAACGAATTCAACTTATGAATTAAGTTTATCAGTTCTAAAAAAATATAAATTAAGTTTATTAGTTCTAAAAATATGATATAGATAAAATACTTTTATCTATATCATGAAGTGAAAATCAATTGCCTAAAATCATTAATAAAAAGTTACGATCGAAAATGCGAACGAACGTTTAACCAAATCTTTTGAATTACTATTTCTTTTTATTCATTTTCATAAAGAGGAAAGTATTGTGTATCTTGGTTTAAGACAACGTCAAGTGATAATCACGATTATCGTAGTAAGTGTAAATTAACTAAGGATGAAACGTGAAGGATTGATTTAGCGATTCTACTGAAAAATTTCGCAAATATCCATTAGAATGCTTGCTTATTTCAGGTAATTATTTTTTGTTATTAAGTTTGAGTGCGATAAATTCCCGCAAAACAATGTTTCTGTCGTGATTTCTGCTCTCAGATTAAAAGTTTCGTCTATGAACATGGTATGTGTAACAGTTTACGGCACGAAAAATTAAATTAAAGTTAAACAAGCATCGTTATCTCTTATATTTTCCGTTGATGTTATTTTTTCCCGAATATTTTCTTGCTAATTACACATTTCTTATTAAACTTTATAGAATCTATCGAAGACATTAAAAAATCGTTGAAGATTTTCATGTCAATTAATATTTCCACTCTCGTCCCGTATTTCGGTTCATGCCGAACCAAATAATTATTAAACTTCTAGATCTTTCTGAATAGATATCAATAATCAGTTTATTGGCGGCTCTTATTCCTGCGGGGAACCAAATGATAAAAAGAAGAAAGAGAAAAGAAAGAAAAAAAAGAAAGAAAAACGAAACGAGTTAGAAAAAAGATTCCAAGCAGTATCATGCTCTACTTTTCTCTACTAATATTATATCAAATAATTTAACCACCTTAATTCATTACATCTAAATTGCATTATCTCCGAGCAAGTAAAATTTATATTTTTAAATAACTAATTTCATTTTAAACTTCTCTCGAAACAGCATTGATGGGGCGACCTTCATACCTCGAGGTCTAAATAATCTCAAGATATCATCCCCCTTCCATGTTTCCGACAGAGATGGCCTCCTTCATTCCAAATCTGGACTTCCATTGATATTTCACGTCCTCTACGTGTCGATTTTTTCCAATAGGTGTCAGTATTTTATGTTTACCTCGGTTGACTCTGATAACCAAGAAAGAGAGATTGAATTTTATTCGTTTTGAACATTTATGCTATAGATAAGAAGAGCATCCCAATTCTTTTTCCAGCCTCCTAAATGATCATTATCTAAAATTATCCAGATGTTTCGTATTCGAAATTTTTCGTTTCCTATATTCGAATATATCAGACTACATAATAGGCTTCCTGGTTTCGAATTTATCCAGTTAATTTATATCTGCCTCCTCATTTTAACTTATATTATGATTTTCAATTTCATTAACATATATTCCTGAAGATGCAATTGTTCACTTTCAATCGCTTGTTCATCTTATGGATTTATTTTTAACAAATAACTGACCTTATATTCAGCATTTCACTTCCGCGTTCCGAAAAGTTTTAATCGTGCATAACAATTAGTAGCTAATCGTTTTCAGTTTAGCGTATAAAAGGGTAGTTTCCACCCATAAATATTATTATAAATAACAATAGGTTAAATCAACGAATGAAATTCATTGATATCACTGATTTAATTTCACTATTCATTACCGGGAAATTCGGCGAAATTCTCTTATTACCTGCATTTTTCAAAATATTTTTACCAAAACGCCCAATTTGAGTTAACTTTTACTGAAATATTTCTAAGAAAGGGATAAGTGAATTGCTTCGCTGCTTTACGTATAAAACGAACTTTAAACAAAGTTTCGTTAAAATGAGTTACCTATTTGACGTACACGATGATGTATAAATTATTATAAATTAGTATCAATAGGAACGAAAATATCCGAACAAATATAGTAGCATATTTACTATCATCACAAATATCTGTTAGTTTTAAATTGTCTGAGGCCTTCTATCTTGTTTATGAATTCTAGCAGAATGATGATTTTAATTTTGCAGAAGGAATTATATATTTATTTGGCATAATTTAACACAGTTAATGTGAATAATTTGTTTACTTGCATTGAGTTTAAATTTTTAAATAATCTCATAACGGCACTAAAATTTATATTTAATATTTCGAAAAATGCGAAGGCTAAAAATTTATTTAAAGCATTTCGGTGATGGCATGAACTATGGAAAAGTAATATCGGTTATGTTCCATCGAAAGACATGAGAGAAAATCTCTCTAAGAAATTGATGCTTCACGACTTTCTATTCATGCGAAAATATTTCTACAACATATAATATATTCTATAAGTCAGTCAATAGCGGGACGATTTTATGTAATTGAGGGACGGGGTGGTAATTATTGGAAAAAATCAATATCTATGTATATAATATATTATTCTCGAATATACATATAATATATATTCTATAACATATCAACTTTCTGATCAAGGAATATTTCTTCAATGTTTTTCAACTGTTCATGACAAATCATTCCTAATATTTAAGAAGTGTCAGGTTTGAATAAGGTCGATACTTGTTAACTTCAAATTTGAGAAACCATGTCCGATTTATCATTTGAAATTTGTGAAAATTTTGATATATTTAAGGATGATTTCGCACTTTGACGAGTAATAAAGCACCAAGAACTATGAGGCGAGTGCAAACTCGTGTCCTCGAAAATTTCCTCCGCTTGAATAAAGAAATGAAGAAATACATAATATTTCCAGCTTTATTGTCAACAAAAATCATATCTGGTTCGAAATGAATTTGAATTAACTGAAGTTAACATTATAGCCAAAATAATATTGGTCATATACCACTTTTGGGCTATAGCATTGTTGCGCTGGCTGCAATCTGCCAAAAATATGAATGAATGATCAATGAATGAATGATGCATGAAAGCAATTTTGATGGATGAAAGAATTTATATATACAAAATCAGTGCAAGCATTTGCGCTAAAAAACTCACGGGCATTTTCCTTCAACAGATTTGAGCAAATCATCGACTGAAGACTCGGAAAGTATAAGACAATCTCCTGGTTCAGGTAGGGGAAACTAAATATTATTGCGTCATGGAAATTAAGTAAATAAATTTAAGGTGAAATCTAAGAACCAATCACAAGTGTGTTCAATTGAAGTTTCTAGATTTTTTCTCCCTGGATAAGATAAATAGTATAGTTTGAACAATGGAGGTGAAGAACTTATGTTTTGAACCTCAATATTTCCGTATAAAATTGTGATTCTCTCGGAGAGAATTATAAATTTATCAGAATATATTTTCCAAACAAATATCGAGTCATTTGAATGAAATAGGTGAATTTTTTGGGGGTAAAAATAGTTTATAACTGAACAAAACGCTTGCGGTTGGTCTAGATTTGGTTTTACAATTTCCACAAAGGAATGTATATTTTTCATTGGCTCTGGTGTTTTCTGGTGGGATCTTAACCATGGTTTTTTGCTTACGGTGCTTATATTCTGTGACTGTTTTTTATGGTGTTGAAGGTTGAAAATAACATTAAAATTCATGGCTGTATTTCATCATAACAATGTTAGCTAACAAATAATAATATTCGGCTAATTATTAGCTAGAAATAACCGCATGCCGAAAATACATCGAAGAATTTAACCATAAGTTGACATAAGAACCTTTAAGTATGCACGTTCTCGCAGGTATATATATTATTTGATAACTCATTTTGTAGGAAGTAATAATTCATTTTTGAAGGCTTTATAGCGGAATGAAAGTGACAAAATAAGGTACTCTCAATACCATATTTTAATTTATTTTAAAATGCTACATTTAAGTCATATTTGGGTAACTTTACTTGTAAAGAGACCCGCGTTGTGGTAAAATACTAGTAGTTTAGTAAAAAAAAGAGCCAATGTATCTGCAAATTTAATTGTTGATATGCGTTATGGCTTACGAGAATTTGCGCTTCGTACATGCGTCACCGGCGACATCTTTCTTATCTACGCGTCTAGGAAAATCTGTCCCTATTAGGTTTCGCTAATAAAGAACTTCTAACAGATAAATTTAAGAAGATGTTGACCTCACGTCGTCATTCAAATTTTTAGCGCGTCATTCAAATTTTTAGCGCTACAGTGACGTCATAAAATGATGCATTTCAGTGTTACTTTGGGAGATCAGTTTGATTTTTATTTATATATTCATTTATATTAAAATGATAGAACAAATTTTTGAGAGATAATTAGTTTCGAGTAACAAATATCCGAAATATCCGAATATACAACATGGAGCAGAAAGTTTTTCAATGTTTTTGCATAGTTTTCATCGGTATTTCCATGAGCCAAGCGCGCCATACAATGCCGGAACTTGGTGAAGATATGACTAGTCAGGTCACGTGCTCAAAGCCCCTAAAAAACTATAAAAACATTGAAATATTCTGCTTAAGATTTGACTTTCAATTATTTTTTTACTGTGGTTCGGATCAGATGGTATTATTCAATTACCAAATATTTTTTTTTCAAATCGTGAAAAAACGGTGCAGTGGTTTCAAACAATTTTGATTTCCGGTATCAGCTAAATAAAGTTCTTTGTCCATTTTGAAACCACAAATCAAAATATTATGCAAGAAATTGATGACGTGATGCTTCCAATAGGGGATAATATCATTGGGCCCGAAAAATTTTTACGGAATTCTCTCTTCGCGGCTATGAACGCGAAGTGTAATTTTCTAAGTAATTTAAGCGATATGTGACGTTTGCGTTTTTGGATGCGGAACAAAAGTTCACTTATTTTTAAGGCAATTCAAACAATGGAAAAAAATGAGTGAGATTGAAACAATTAAATTGACCGAATTATCAACTGTTTTATAGCTTAAATTCCATGCTTCGACTAACATGCTAAACTAACCGATGACAAAAGGTGAGGATCGTTAGCAGCTAATTCGATGTGTTTAATATTTTGTTCCATTCACTAAATGTTATTTGTCATGGCTTATTGGTGTGTACCGTATTTTCTTGCCGCGTACTCGTTTATTTATGTGAGTTATTACTTTAATTTATTCGGCTGTTGGGCCGTTATCTTAATTGTATAATTTAATTTTTGTTTGTGTTTTCGCATACTTAGGAGCCATTTATACTTAATAATAATAAATTCATATCTTGGTTCCTTCGGTTAGTTTATTGTAAACTTCTATATCTTATTTCTTGCATGTATTAGGTGAAGTTATGTTTAGAATTTATTTGAAGATTTGCATTCGTGTGTTGTTAGTGGTTTAACATTTTTGCACACCCTTAATATGCTCTTTACTTCTCGATTTTATTTTCCTATAGTTCAATCGATTTCTTCACATAATTTTCCAGTTATTTTATACATTTTTATATCGTTATTTTATTTTCCTTTTGATTCAATCTATCTTCTTCACAACTTTCTTGTTATTTAATACATTTTTATTTAGTTATTTTCTTTTCCTTCTGGCTCAATCTCTTTTCTTCACATAGTTTTATTATTTGATGCTTATATGTTCTCTTTATGCTGAATGCCTCACGAATATTGTTTGGATACTCATGTCGTGTAAAATGCTTTATTTCAAACCTAATTTCTGCTTCGCATGATTTCCAATATCCATTTCTGCTCATTGTAAAACGATATTATTCGTACATTAGCAATGAAATATTTCCTTAGTGTCTAAGAATTTGTGAATACAATTGATAATTAGAACTAATGCATACAAATTGACGAGCAACATGAAATAATTGAAACTACCAAATTAATTTTGCGTCATAACTAATTTCAAATTAATTTGCAGTGACAGCCCATCATCCTGAAACCTCCTGGCATCCACCGCCGATGCCCGAATATGACCAGGACGACTCAAGCAGTTTGTCGGGGATAACGAGTCATCCATCTCCTCTGGCCCTAGTGGCCCCCATACCAAAGCATCCTTCACCTGTAACTGACATAGATCAGCTGTACTACACCAAAAACTTACTGGAAGCTGCCATGCGCAAGAATCCTTACGATGCTCTTAAAGGGGACAACAACCTGCATGGCAGCATCCTGCTGGCAAGTCTGCGGTCACCTCTGAAGTTCGGACCCTTCCAAGGGGTATACTCAGGGGAAAGGGATGCCCTCGAAAGGGATTACATGGACACGTCCCCACATTCACCCCATGCTTCTCCACAGAAGCCATCCCAGTCTACGTCTTTGCCTTCACCGGGATCTTTGGCGTCCAGCGTTCATGGGGGCGCGAAGTCCAGTTACGGCAGCAGCAGTGCTAATGGAAGCGCCGGTATTCCCAACTCCCACGCTAATACCAACAGCAAGTCCGTCTCAGTTCCAATCATGAGTTACTGCATACAGGACAATGGATTTAAATGCTCAAAGTGCTTCCAAACTTTCACTCATCCTTCGAACTTCCATCGGCACTATATCACAGTCCACACGGACAGGAGAAATCACAAATGCACTGTTTGTGGCAAGGAGTTCAAACGAAAAGATAACATGATGTCGCATATGAGATCTGTACATAGGCCTGGTCGAGAGGGCCACGCAATTTATAGAGACGTTTCTTCTGTATCGCCTTCTTTATCTTGTGAAATTAATGCAATAAAATTGGAGAAAGTTCATCCTCCGATGATAGGGCAGTAAATCGCTCGTTTCGTCTTGCTCGTACGCAGATCCTGTACTGCTGGAAATTTTTATCCGGCTAAACACAAATTTCAATATATTTTACATTAACAAAACAATCCTAGCGTTTGTTTTTGAAAAGGATGACCATGGATACATTTCAACGAGGTATCCATTTACAAAGTTATTAGGAAATGAAGTAAGAGCCATGACAAACTTTTGCTGTGAACGTTACTGCCGACGCTCACCAATCTGAATGATATTCAATGTTCAGAAGAGCCGCTCTTCACAAATTAGCTCGTTGCATATACGGAGTATACTTTATTCCTTATTGATCTCTATGAAACGATGTGTTATCTAATTCCTCAATGAAATTTGCGGATGTAATGAATGTGTTGACTGAAAAAGAGCAGAATGATTACCATCCTGCCACAACTTGGACAAGATGTTAAGGTAGACCCGGGATTTACCTACGAAAATGAGAATGGTCTGAAGATTATTGTAGTTCTTCAGCAATACTTCGTTCAATCGATGTAAGAATAAAGTGTGATGAGTGTTGTGTTCACTAACCAAAAATTGGCCTAGTATCAAATTTAGTTGCCGATGCATTAGTATTTCATCCCCTTTCTTTTCTCACGAATGTATTTTAAGTCTGCATTAATAGCACAGCAAACATAAGCTTTCTTCGCCAAATTTAATATCAAGCAAGTAACGCGGTTGAGCAAAAGGGTAGAATCGTTTACTTCCCATACAATTTATTAAGTATTACCGAATAAATTCCGAAAAATCCATGGGAATAATCAACACCCCACATTAAGTGTTCTTTCGTTTCTTATAATACGAGAAAACTTTTCGAATTTTGAGCTGTTAATTTTTGCGAGTTAAGCTGCAAATTATCCTTTCCCCGAAAATTTTTCCTCATGACACAAAGAATGAACGAGTCAACCGTAAAGTGTTCTTCGAATAATGATCAACAAATTACCGCCTCTCGAGTCGCCGTTTTTCGCGTGAGTGTGATGTTTGACCAATGGTTTTGTTACTAAAATAGATACGTTATATATAAGATTTTGGCCCCACTCAAAGAATAGGCTGTAGGTAGTTGGTTCACAATGGTAGTTTTAGACGAGAGATCTTTTTGTTTCGTTAGTTTTTTTTATTTTATTTTACAGACAGATTTATTCCTTATTTACAATATGCAACAGCCGTAGTCATCTAGTTTTTCTTCGACAACTTCGTGGGTATTTAGATCTTGCCTTTCAGTTCTCGTAGTTGGCTTGTAAATAGTTTAGTCACCGTTTGTGTATAATTGTTCGTTTCTTCTACATTTTCTCAAGAAAAGTATATTTTATGTTGACGTGTATAGAGAGTTTAATATATTGTTCTAAATCTCTTTATTTATTGCATATTTTCATAACTTTGCGTTTATCATATTTCTGTTCGCTCATGTCAGTATTTATGATGTGAAGAAGCACTGGTATCTTCTTTATACAAAACAATCAAAACATGATATTCTATATAAAAAAATTTTTACTGGAGATTGCCTCGATTTATTCGTTAATGATCAATTAATTAATCAATGATTATGTTTCTAACGGCTGCTAACGATATTAATTGATTTACTACCAGAACAAAAATTTGTTCTTCCCTCGGATGACATTTCAAATTGCACGGAAAATTGCGAGAAGAAAATTCGGTCTTTTGATTTGTATTTAACTTTATTCTATATTATCGCAGGTGCATGCATTCGTTATAGTAATAAATTTGATTTCCCTAAGTTTCTTGCCCCTTAACAATATGAAAATACGCACTGCCTAAATATTGCTCCTGAAATATTTAATATGCATGTAATAGTAACTAAATTAATATTCCTCAATCCTCAAACGAGAGTTGAATTCGTGAATGAACAACGGAAATGATGTACGATGCTCACTTTTTATGAAACGCACTCAATGTTTTATTGCTTTATTATTTATTGAAACAGCCTGTTTTAAGTCATTGAAAGTTTATTGGATTTGTTGGAATATCAACATTTTACTTACATTATTAATATTTATTTGCAGTGTGCCACGTTATTTAAACAATATTTTTTGTTTCATTTGTTTGCGTATTATCAGCGCATGTTTGGGATGAACGTGTTCAATACTCAATTCTGAAACTGTCTTGTCATCATAACAATACTCGACTCGATCTGCATGCGAGCTCGGAAAGTGATCAATTCTAGACTAGAGTCGCAAATTCTTTTGTAACCTCTCTCCGTAGAAATAAAGGCCTAAAATTCAATAAAGGCCTAAAATTTAAAACAACTGAGTGAAATTTTATGTGGCCTTGGAAAATAATTGAGAAATTGGAAACAATGGATTCGTATTGCTTTAATTAGAATTCATATACATCAAAAATTGGGATTGCCTTGAAAATTTCGGCTTCAAACTCTTCAGGTTCGAAAACATATTCAAAAAGTTTTTGTTTTCATGCGAATTTCATCGCCTCTTTCTACTGGTATTTTATAGACTCTGACCAAATATTACCTTAGTGGCGGGTAGCGGGAGAGAACGAGAACAGCGATTCTGGGCACCTCGGCCCAGGAGCTAACGAAAATGGATAGATGTTCTGTAGGCACCTTTTTACTTTTGTAGTGTGACTTTTTGAGGTAATAAAACGGATTGTGATACTGAATTTTCTTCTCCTACTGAATAAGTACAATTCCTCTTGAACGATATTTTCAGGTGGCTGTATGAGAGTTGGCTTGAGTTTATAGCTAATTTTTCGAATTTTATCACCAAATTTTCATCATTGGAAGGCTCAACAAAGTTGATATGAAATCAACTCGTACAACGAATTCGTGTATTTTTGGAATTCAGGCGACTAAAATTTGGTTTGAATGTGAAAATTCACATGTTAACTGAAAATTTTGTACACAAACTTTTTAAAAAAATATAAGTCTAGTATCAGTTCATTTTAATACATCATTCAACAAATAATTATTCTTATATATTCCAAAATTTACGGATTTTCAAAGTCAATTTTCAGGTTTGTGAGTGCAATTCAGGATAATTCTTATTTTTTACAAGTTAATAAAACAAATTAATATTTTAAATACCAGACTCTTGCGGATAATTAAAAATATATATAAATAATTCTTCCTGCGCATTGACAAGGCGAACGCCCTCGATTACGGCCATCCATCGACTACCTTCCGAGTCAAGCTCGCAAGTTTGTTCGCGATGCCTCAAAAATTTAATTAAAAAACTTGGGTCCCAATCTCAGTTGAACCTCCATTTATAATGAGTTCAAGTTAAAAAACTGAAAACAATTTTGTCACTATTGTGTCTAGATTCAAGTTGATTATGTATTTTGTGAGTATCATAGATACTCCCAATATACCCTTCAACGTATTATCAGTTTATTGTGTACAGGTTTCGAGTTTGTTCTAAGTTCGATTTACCCTTATACTCTCACTTGACTCTTATGTAATTTTGTAATTGGCGACGTTAATACAATTTCAATTTATGTCCACCGTGCTCTAGGTTTGAATAATAATAATATTAAAATTAAAGAGTTATCATCGCTGCCGTATGCTTTCCGACTGACTATTAGATTAGCCTATTCGCCCTCAGATCAAACAATTGCAAAATTTTGGTATCAGTTAAGTTTACTGCGTTAGCCGATTTTCGATGACCTGTAGTCGGTATTCTTTTTATGCATAGTACCAAGCAAAATTTAATGGTCTTCGATAAATGGAACTAATATTAAAGTACTCCTTCTTTGGTTAGATCTGCTATTTGCCGATTATTGAAATGTCATTCCTATATATTCCGAACATGTAAGCTGAGTTTCTATTTTTGGTTCCATGCGTCCGTCAATTTGAGTAAAAACGATACAGTACGCGATTCCAAAATGTTCATCGCTTTGAGGCTCAATAGTATTAGATTATTAAAACCGTTAGGTCATTAAAAATTTGTACAAACAATGCTACCGTAACACAAACTTCAATAACCTCGAAAGTCTGGTAGAGAATGCGTGTACAGTATTTCAATTTCCCAATTTAAACTTGGGCGAAACTAAAAGATAAATGGGACACGATTATCTGCATATTGTCGAAAATTTATCAAACTTAAAATATTTTTGAAAATATACATTTTCTATTCTCTAATTCTTCAATTTCAGTGCACGAGCCTCAATTTGCGCTCAATCTTGAATCAACCAAGTTTATATATTTAAAATGCAGAAAATGAATCTCATATTGACCGTCTCACGATCTTGTTCCAAAATCAATAACAATAATATTGCATGGTTTTTGAACCGAATTAGACGTGAATTTCTCTACAATTGGTTTTCGTTAAAATGGGTAAGCGAAATTTACAGCGATGACCATCAATTGTGAAAATTTTGCCAAATCGTCAACAAGACCTTAACATTTGCAAATTTTCAGTTGTTTATAATTCCAACGGGATCGTTTTATTCTCTAATAACTTGTACATTTATCCGCAGGCTGGTCAATTCCCCTTTTCAGCCCAGAAGTCTCCCTTATTCCACCGCTCTCTCTTAACAATTTGGATCTGCAACTGGATTTTCCAGAGCTGAAGGACCCAAGTCTGTTCTTGGAAAATTCAATGGCTTTGTCCAACCCATCAGCGAGCAGGCATCGATCATCAAATGATGTTTACGCCTCTTCCAGCTCTTTAACATATGCGGGCAATGTTAAAACAACCAACGCATACTCAAATTCATCAACAGTATCAATGAAATTAGGCAAGAAGCCAAACTTCTCATCTACCTCATCAAACACGGCGACTAAAATTGGCGATTCTACTTCGTCAACAATGAACGAAGAAATGTCGAATTTACCTACTTGCCTAAATACTAACCTATCATCTTCAATTTCAATGGGAATTATGTCTTTGCCCGGTACAGAACTGCTTGGAATGGACTGTAATGGACTTGAGGAAGCTGGCGTACAAATGGGTATCAAGGTCCGAGGCCTGGACCTAATGCGCTACGGGAGATTAGAAAACGGCGTGTACAAATGTGTCGAATGTGAAAGGATCCACATAAATAAAACTTTCAAAACGTCTTACTCTTTCCAACGACATGCCTACCTCTACCACGAAGGCCTGCCAAAACGCTTCCCGTGTCCTGTGTGCCATAAGGAAGTATCAACCAATCATATACCAACACCGCCTTCGAACTGCATCCAAAAACCATATATTCTAGGAATTATGGAGGCCTCAAACTATCAACCCACTAAATGAAACGATTGACGCGCTCTTTAATCCATCTCAATCAGGCCTCCAATCTTTTGATCTGAACCTCTCCTCATCAACGCAAATGGCATCAGTGCACACTTGTTATTCATGCGCTTGAGGTTGTTTGTTGAGCTTCTGTGTTGATTTTGGTAATGAGCAATGATTTCGATTACGGAAATATTCATCTTCGTCTTATATCTATCAATCAATTCCATCAATCAATCTTTCTATCAATCACAATTATCATTTATCAACAAGTTTCTACGCGGTCAATGAGTCAAGCAATTGATTTGTGCTTTTGATCAAAATGATTGATCGTTTAGACTAGAGCCTCCTCATATTTGTTAACTAATGTTTCTTCTGCACTAATAGACCCACTAAGTATCTTCAGAATGAAACCTATATTTATGTCTTTTCTATAAGACAAGACATACGGTTTCACACCGAATTAAATTTAATTAAATAATATTTCTTTTAAGTTTAAATGATAAGTCTTGCAATAAGTAACTAATTTCTACATATGTTGGCTGGCATAGTGCAATATTACATTTATAATGTAAATATCTCTAATATAGATGTTGGACTTTGGAGTGATTAGTAAAAGCAGAATATTTCCTGCAAAAAATGACGATCCTGGTCGTTCTGCATGAATTTGCATCGCTGCTTCTAAGCTTTGCATTCAACAGTTCAAAAAAGTTTCATCCAAAATCAAATAAAGTCCATATTCTGAACTTATGAACTTTTAAGCGCAGAAATACTCGTTTGCCTTTGGGTTGATGTTTGCTAACTTAATGGTGTTTCAGTTCTATTGGTTTTAATAAACACACGTTGCAGCTTCATCTCCTCACTTCACGAAAACAAAAATTTCAGCATCGTTGCAAGAATCGTCAAAATTTCAGCGACAATGATTCTCTTTATAACTCAATATAATAAATTCCGGTTCATTTTGATAGATCATACTTTAGAATGATCGAAGGATAATTTTTTCAGTATTCTTACAAATAGCAATACTAAATGGAATAGTATGTAACCGCAATCTATTACAAACGAGTGCCGTACAACATGCAACGTCTCACTGTTCAAGGGGCATAATTTCAAGTTCCATGTTCGAAACAGTGAAATCAATAATAAAATTAATAGCATCTCTAATCAATTTTACTCTAAACATTAATCACCCGATATCTTAAACATTAGTAGGTGTGTAAAGGTTATTTTTTAGGTATTATAGGTTCGCTTAGACCAAAACCAGTTTCCAAGCACATTAACGAATGCCCAGGGTAATAAATTATGTACTGGATGAAGCACTTATACACAGTCACAATTAGCAATCCGAGAAAATTAATGGCATAATAATTAAGTGACCTGGCATATCATGACCAGTTTTAGTGCATATTGGTGCCATTGGGCGATTGCTCCTACATTCGACGTTAGCGAAACACGATACAAGTATAATGTAAATCACAGTCATAGAGATGTTTATTATCAATCATAATATTAAAATTAAATCGAATTCTGCATTTTCATTAAATTGTCGTAAGCACGAGAGTTGATGTTTCTTCCTGAAGAACCTAGCATTTACAACGCATTACTCCAGGAAAGCAATCGAAGCGTTTCTGTGAAATTCAGGTATAAATTCAAGAGTGAAAATCGAATGTTTTCGACACCTGTTTTCCTTTCAAAACTTCTCAAAGAGGCAACTCTTTTCAAATTGCACAAGTGGTTTTGCGATTGTATTTTTATACAGCACACCTAATGCTTCCAAATATATAATACGAATAATTAATCGTTGTCAATACACTAAGCTTTGACGCTCTCTAACTATGTTGCAATATCGAGTTTTATTAACTATTTTCCTTTCTAGCTTCATTTTACAAACTACCAATAAGTTCGTTTAGTCTGTTTAATTGTCACTGGAAATTATTATTGCGGTTCACAACTCGTTAATTATTGCTGCGTGGAATATGAGTATCAAACTTGAGGTCGCTGAGCAACTTCTCGCTTGAGGACATTTTATTCATCTAAGCTCATTGACGCAATTCAACTTTTAATAAATCACTTTTTTGACCAGTCGATATTCCTGATTCCCTGGAAGCACTTTTTGTATAAATACACATAATGCTTCATAACCGCTACGGTAACTTGAACTTCATCGAAAATTCGAGAATCATGAATCGTTATTACTTACATGGTTCCGAAATGTGGACTATGTCTCCTGCCCTTATATATACAGTGAACTCATAATGTCTCATTTAAATTATAATCAAACGGCAGGCAATTAACGGCCATGCGTAAACTTAAGTGCCGACTGCAACTAATTTGAATTTGATTTGAAAATTTTCAAATAACTCATGCAACATATCGTTTTAGATTCTGGCTAACGTTACATCGGTTTTAGTTTAAGCAGATCTTCATTCGGATTGAAT